TTAATAATTTACATTGCTTTTACATGTGAAAGAAAATCTCATAGAATTTTCTAGGGCATCTACCTGCTGATTGAGAAGAATCCTCATGAATTCATCCCAAATGGTCATCCAGCTTCAGAGAAATCTGAGTGAGTTGATCTCAGGACTGATTTCTTCCTATTTCCATTTTCAGGTCTTTGCTTCTCGCTCTAGCTCATGCCTCCAACTTTGGTCCGTCATTAAGTTTCGTCCCTAGAAATGCCCTTGATCTGACCCATATCACCATCTCTATTCCATCCCAGCACAAATTTCTGTTTTTTCTTTGTTTCACGTCTGATTATTTTATTCTCATTATTCCGTTTTCTGGCTATATCTACATGATAAATTACTGCACTAATCAGAATAAACCATCCAGGGAGCACATTGTTATTTCCTTATTGCTAAGTAGAAATTTGTATCTTTAAGACTTGGTTGATAATTCCTGGATATATTGTTGACATTCTATGAGGCAAACACTTCAGATTTACTTATCAAGTTAATCGTGTCTGTTTTTATTTGTAGGTGGTTGTGGTGAACACATGACATAATATACTGCAAAGCACCTATAATAAATTTTAATATTGTTCCTATGATAATATTTTTTACTAAAGAATCTATTTATATTTGTATTTATGAAATGATTTTGTGGATTTTGTTTAACCAAATTGATTTTACTGCTTTTGATATATAAGCAAGTGAAATACAAGTTTAGGACATTTTTATGAAATAATGAACAAGAATGTTTTATATTTACTTACTTTCCTTTTCAGAACTATGTGTAAAAAACATACAAAACAAGTGTGGGTAAAGTGGTCTCAAGTAAAATGAAAACGATAGACTCCTGGTGTTTTTGATTGGTGGGCCACACATCAAATGCCAAGCTAATTTGTCGTTGATAAAAACCCAAATAATTGAGGTACATTTATGTAATGACTAATTACATTAATTTGTTACACTTCTTTGTAGAATTTATATTCTACAACTAATTTTTTTATGTTATTTACACTCCTGTCTCCATAACCCTGCATGTTTCCTCCAGGTGGAACATACAGACTTTCATTCATTAGAAATCCTTCCAACTCTTTATATGACAATTTACAAATTGACTTCATCAATACCTCAGTTTAAAATATTTTTACTATTTTCTAAATTTCTATAGGACATATATCCCACAATAATATCTGTTAGGTGATAGATATAGAGATTTGTAGAAAAATAGATAAATGCATATATGGTGTTATACATATGGGTATATGGTGTTATACACGTGGGTATATAGTGGTATACATGTGGGTATATGGTGGTATACATGTGAGTATATGGTGGTATACATGTGGGTATGCATCTTATTCCTGACTTACAGGACTTCACAATGCATATCAAAGGCATACATATGTGTGTGTGTATATATATGGTATGTATGTCTATGTCTAGTATTAATAATTGGGCATATTTATATATAATAATTTGGTCCTTGAAATAAAATTATGAATACTTAAAAGGTAGAAATCATAATATACCTACATTTGTATCTCTGCTCATGCTTCCTCCTTGTGTTAAATGCTAAATTTTTTGCAAAATATAATTAAAAGCAGAAAAAGACACCACGCCCTTGCTGACTATTTGTCAAATGGTATTTGGCTTCAGGGATGATCATTTGTTCACAGTGAACATCAAGATGCAATATAAAGAAAAGAGAGTATAAAAAAATAAATAGGAAGAGATGAATTGGCAGTGAGGATGACCATAAAAAATGTCCAAGCAGTTTCTCATGAATAGCAGGTGCACAACAAGTAGGTCTGCAGTAATGAATTAATAAAATATATATTATCATTTATTTATAATTAGAAGTTATTCTATGTGATAGTAATGTGTGCATCCATGTAGTTTTCTCTTTTCTATATTCAGCCTTACCTGATTTTTTAATATTGATTAGAGAGAAATAGTAGCATTATAAATGTATTTATTCTTTTGTCTACATTCTTGAATTGATCCTTTCATAATGAATCGATAGCAACATGGCATAATACTCTTATTTCTGCTAATATACAAAGAAATTGCAGGTTAGAATGTTCAAGAGACTGGTCTAAAACCTGATTTCTGTAAAAACAAAACAACTACTGACTCGATTCTCAGTATGCCTTGGACTCTTCTCTAATTCTTAATAGAGTTTGCCAAGCACCAACATCAGAGCACACAGGGTATGATTCTACACTCATTATTTTGAGAAATAATCAATTTAAAACATCACTGCACAATTCTGAATCTAAATGGATATTAGATTCACATAACAAATTCACTATCTACTAATCTGTACATTATAAAAGCAAACACAAGAATTGTCTTAATTACTAAGGTATTCTGCTTGTCAGAAAGACCTTCATTGTATTCTGGAATCCTAATTTTTACTGGCACATTAATGTCTAAATGGCTGGAGTAGAGTAAGCATCTTTTATTGATAAGAAAATATTAAATCTAGCTATATCTGGCATAGATAGCACCTTACTTGTGGTGTGAGTGGTTGACATCAGGTGTCTGTCTCCTCAGCCAGTAGTGACAGGGAGAAGTGACATGCTGGGAGAAGGCTCTGTTTGTCCTAGGCTATTGCAGAGCAAAGGTTCAGTTCCAGCAGAGAGCACAGTAAGTGTTTTCCTGTGGCTGCTGTTGGACATTCTCTTTGATCCTCTCACTTACAATCTGAGGCTATTATATCATAATAGGACTCCAAAGTCATTGTGTCCAAACTTCTTCATTAGGTAAATAAGGAAACACCAAGTTAGATGCACTGTTTTTCTAACTCTCAAGACAAGCTTGAGACATGGGTATAATTAATTTTCTTAATTTAAGAGATGAGAAAACTATGCTTACATATTATGTAACTTGTCAAAATTCTAAGCTAAGTCTGACTTTTGAAACATTATTTTAGTCATTTCTTTTGAGTGGATATTAAAGTAAATCAGAGAGGGTTAATTCATTTCATTATCAGAACAACACTCAGTTGGTGTTTGAGGGTAGATAAAATTAAATCTGAATGAGCCACTTTGCCCAGATGTCTTTACTAGATAGTCATTGTAAAGGCAGATTGAGGAATTCTCCCTTCTGTTTCTGCCTTTCTGAGGGGTAGTACTTGGGCATCCTATTCTTTCTTCCTGAAAGATAAAAAACTATATTCTGCTTTGTTTCCTTTTATTGTTATGGACTGGATAATGTTCTCTCCAAAATTCATACATTGAAGTATTAGTCCCCTGTACCTCAGAAGGTGACTGAGGATCAGAGTTTTTAAAAAGATCATTAAAATCAGGTCATTGTTGTGTTCCCTAATCTAATAGGATTAGTGTTCTTTTAAGAAGAGGAAATTCGAACACAGACAGGCACAGAGGAAAGTCATACGAAGAGACACGGGAAAACATGGCCTTATAACAGCCAAGAAGGGAAGCCTTGAACACACCCTTCCCTCTCAGCCCTTGGAAGAACTCAGCTCTGCCAACACCTCGTTTTTGAACACTTGGCCTCTAAAATGGTGAAATAAATATCTGTAGTTTAAGCCACCCAATCTGTGGTGCTTTGTTACAACAGCCTTAGCAAATGAATAGATTGACAATCTCCAAATGTAAATTTTTGTACTCCATATCTTCCTAGAGAGGTTAGAACAGCAGAACTTTTCAATTAGGTTTTGAAGTAGTTTGGGCCGTATTTTATTTTTCAAGAAGAGTGATTACAAAGCCAATACACATTTATTTTGTTTTCTAAAAACATCATTATTATCCTATGCCCAGAAATAACTACTATTATTTTGTGTATAAAGATTGACAGAAATTTTTAGATCATAGTTCAAAAATTTTATCAAGACTAATAAATTATTTTTTAAAAACCTATTCATTTATAATAACATGAAAAGTCTAATATGATTAATAAAAGTTGTGGAGGTGGCAGACTCAAAAGAAAATTTAAATCACTGCTTTAAAAATCAAATTTGAATTGGTTTTAACTCATTTTTACAGTACTATTGTGAGTTAAATACAACTGTGGAGACTGCCTCTGATTTCCAAGTAATGGTCTTCTTTTATTCAAATTGTATATCAGCAGACTCCCTCTTCCTCAAATCATAGTCCTTCACATGCAGTTTCTCATTCTTAACTTTAAAATGGTAAATCCTGTGAAGGTGCTGATGACACCATCCAGGTATAGCAAGAGGGATGAACACCAGTTAGTTAAATGCCACAGACTAACGCATGTCTTTGGTACTGGTAGGTCCTGAATCAAGGCCAACTGTGTGTCCAGTATTTCAGAGTTCAGTCCTATATGCAAGATTTCTACTGTGAGAGAAGAATCAGTGACTGGATATATTATTGCATGAAGCAGAGGCCCTTGTGTCAGATCTAGCCCATAATTTCTCTGTTTGGCACACTGGGAAATGTTATGCTAAAATCAGAACATTTATACCAAAAAATGTAAAGATTTGGCCTCATAGTGCCTGAAATCTCATGCAGGTAACACTTAGCTGTACCTATCCTGTCATTACTTGTTCCTGACCTGCTCATATATTCACATTATGTGCTCGACTTCTGTTAGGATTTGAGTTAGGACCGTTTACTGCCCTTTCCCTAAAACAACCTCTACCCAATGCACTAAATACAGCAGTTGTTGATTGGATAATCACTGAATGAATGGGACCTTTTGCACTAAGTAATGTATACTATTCCAAAGTTTATTGTTTATTTTGTGTGCATATATCCAGTTACTTAATGAATACATGTTTATTTTCTTTCGTTTATTCAGAACTTGTTATCTCTCAGACTTAACAGAGAAACAGCAAAGGAGAAAAAAGAAAAGCAAATGGGAATTATCAACCACGGCTGGGATGAGATTTATTTTCAACCACTATGGATCACTTTGTGGTTGTTTCCTTTGCACTAAATATCACTAAAGCCCCAACCATTTTGAATATTATTTGGCTTTCCCCTCTATGACTTGGAAAGAAAATGACAAATGAGACCACCGTGACTGAATTTATTCTCAAGGGCTTCTCAGACGTGCCTGAAATGACTCTTATTAGCACTGCACTCTTCCTTTTCATCTACCTTTTTGCCCTCGTGGGGAACATGTCCATCATCCTAGCTGTGGCCAGAAACATCCGCCTCCATACTCCCATGTACTTCTTCCTGCAGAATCTGTCTTTCTTGGACATGTGCTACACCTCAGTCACTGTCCCGAAGGCACTTATCAATTCACTTATGGGCTTCAAAGTCATTTCCTTTTGGGAATGTGTGGCTCAGCTCTTTATATTTGTAATGCTGTGTGCCTCTGAGTGCTTCTTACTCACATCCATGGCATATGACCGTTGTTTAGCCATCTACAACCCTCTTATCTATGGTTTCATTATGAGCAGAAAGCTGTGTACAGAGCTTGTCATTGTGGCCTGGTTAAGTGGAGCTCTCTATGCCATCTTTCACACTATCAACACCTTCTCTCTACTATTCTGTGGGCCCAATGTCATTGACCATTTCTTCTGTGACAGCTCTCCCATTATGAGACTGTCTTGCAGTGACTCCCATGTCAATGAAGAAGTTGGATTCGCAGTCGGAGGGTGTATCATTCTCAGTGCTTTTGCCCTCACCATAATCTCCTATGTTCTCATCATCTCTACCATTGCTCAAATCCACTCTGCTGGTGGCCGTCAAAAGGCTTTCTCCACCTGTTCCTCTCACCTGGCCACTGTCATTCTGTTTTATGTCACTGGGAGCTTTGCTTACCTCACACCCACTTCCCAGTACTCTCCCACTCAAGGACGGTTAGTGTCTGTGTTTTACTCCATCCTCACACCCAGCCTAAATCCCATCGTCTACTGTCTGAGAAACAAAGACATGCAGATGGCCCTGAAAAAGCTGTTTTTCTATCCAAGTAGACATGTTTTCTTGTATTGACTATATTGCTGTGAACATTTTTCCACATTGACTATGTGCATGTTTAGGAAGGCAGCTTACTCGTTGGCAGAAAGGGATCACAGATTTCACTGTTGATAAAACGGCAAATTAAGAAAAGAATAATTTCTGAGGCCTCAGTTCTGTTCCGTTAGTCTGTATATCTGTTTTGGTACCATTACAATGTTTTGGTTATTGTAGCCTTGTAGTATAGTTTGAAGTAAGGTAGCATGATGCCTCCAGCTTTGTTCTTTTGGCTTAGGATTGTCTTGACTATCCCGGCTCCTTTTTGGTCCCATATGAAATTTAAAGTAGTTTTTTTCTAATTCTGTGAAGAAAGTCAATGGTAGATTGATAGGGATAGCACTGAATCTATAAATCACTTTGGGCAGTATGACCATTTTCATGATATTGATTCTTCCTATCCATGATCATGGAATGTTTTTCCATTTGTTTGTGTCCTTTCTTATTTCCTTGAGCAGTGGCTTGTAGTTCTCCTTGAAGAGGTTCTTCACATATCTTGTAAGTTGTATTCCTAGGTATTTTATTCTCTTTGTAGCAGTTGTGAATGGGAGTTCGCTCATGATTTGGCTCTCTGTTTGCCTATTATGGGTGTATAGGAGTGCCTGACAAAAACAAGCAATGGGGAAAGGATTCCCTACTTAATAAATGGTGTTGAGAAAACTGGCTAGCCATATGCAGAAAACTGAAACTGGACCCTTTCCTTACATCTTATACAAAAATTAACTCAAGATGGATTAAAGACTTAAATGTAATACCTAAAACCATAAAAACCCTAGAAGAAAACCTTGGGAATACCATTCAAGACATAGCCATGGGCAAAGGCTTCATGACTAAAACACCAAAAGCAATGGCAACAAAAGCCAAAACTGAAAAATGGGATATAATTAGATGAAAGAGCTTCTGCACAGCAAAAGAAGCTATCATCAGAGTGAACAGGCAACCTACAGAATGGGAGAAAATTTTTGCAATCTATCCATCTGACAAAGGGCTCATATCCAGAATCTGCAAGGAGCTTAAACAAATTTACAAGAAAAAAAAAAAAACCACACCAAAAAGTGGGCAAAGGATATGAACAGGCACTTCTGAAAAGAAGACATTTATGCTCCCAAAAAACATATATAAAAAAAATCTCATCATCACTTGGTCATTAGAGAAATGCAAACCAAAACCACAATGAAATACCATCTCATGCCAGTAAGAATAGCGATCATTAAAAAGTCAGGAAACAACAGATGCTGGAGAGGATGTGGAGAAACAGGAATGCTTTTACACTGTTGGTGGGAGTGTAAATTAGTTCAACCATTGTGGAAGACAGTGTGGCAATACCTCATGGATCTAGAACCAGAAATATAATTTGACCCAGCAATCCCATTTCTGGGTATATACCCAAAGGATTATAAATCATTCTACTATAAAGACACATGTACATGTATGTTTATCACAGCCCTATTCACAATAGCAAAGACTTGGAACCAACCCAAATGTCCATCAATGATAGACTGGATAAAGAAAATGTGGCACATATACACCATGGAATACTATGCAGCCATAAAAAAGGATGAGTTCATGTCCTTTGCAGGGTCATGGATGAAGCTGGAAACCATCATTCTCAGCAAACTAACACAGGAACAGAAAACCAAACACCAGATGTTCTCACTCATAAGTGGGAATTGAACAATGAGAACACACGGACATAGGGTGGAGAACATCACATACCGTGGCCTGTTAGGAGGTGGGGAGGTAGGGGAGTGATAGCATTAGGAGAAATACCTAATGTAGATGAAGGGTTGATGGGTGCAGCAAACCACCATGGCACGTGTATACCTATGTAACAAACCTGCACGTTCTGCACATGTACCTCAGAACTTAAAGTATAATAATGAAAATAAATAAATAAATAACAAAATTAAAATTAAAGAAAAGAATAATTATCTGCCATTAAATTTATTTTGTCAATTGTAGAAATTTTAATAACTTCTGTCCTACGTCTAGTTTTATCTGATACTTTGTGATAAAATGGGGAGTAACACTTAGTGCTGTTTTGGTCAGTTGCATTTTCCTTATCAACTCAAGAGAAGATGAGACAATAAACAGTCTCTATCTTTTTAGTCTATAATCCCACTACTTCTGTGCAGATGGTAGGGGAAAAAGTCAATGTATTGCTTGCAAAGAGCTGCATGTAGAATGTGGTAGGGCATTTATTTCCTGATGGCAAGGACCTGGGCAAATAGATTCAGGGTCTCTTATCACCTGATAATGGGTTATTGATAAGAGGCCAAAGGAATGTCTTCATCTTTTAAATATATAATTAATGCCCACAACCAGCATAAATATTTGTGTTGGCTATCCACTGGACATATAAATGTGTTTCTGAATAAGCCAACTTGACGAGATGAATTTATGGGGGATGATGTTTAGCATGTAGATATGGGAATGAGAGACCTACAATATTTTGAAGCATTTGGAATCAGATAAGTATTACAAATGTTTGTCTTGACACATTTTTGTCTCTCATAGATGCAGTAAATCAATCTTACATTTCATTGGTTCTTTATATTTGTTAAGATGATTGACTTCATATATATATGTTATGTAAACTTTTTAAGTTGCAGAAATAAGATCTATGTTTGTTTCTTTGCTTGTGGCAGAACATACACATGCACACACATAAATATCAATATATAGACTTATGGCTATATGATATGTGCCCAACATGTTGCATTTTAGAGGGTCTGGACACAATGACTGTTTATTTATCTTAAAATAAAAATTATTAGACTAATTGGATCTAATAGATATATTCAGAACACTCCACCCGGAACAGTAAAATGCGTGTTTTTCTCAGGATAGACCATATATTAGGCCATGAAAAGTACTAATAAATTTTTAAAAACACAATTATAAAAAATATTTTTTAATTCCAATGAATTAAAATAGAAATTAATAGCAGAATAAAATGGAAAAAAAATCATAAATAAATATAAATAAATAATATGATTTTAAAAAATAGAGTGAAGAAATCAATAGAGAAATTCAAAAACACCCTGAGCTAAATTAAAATGAAAATACAGCATACCAAAACTTTAGAAAAAGCAGAAACTGAGCTATGAGGGAAATATATGTAAATGCTTACATTAAAAAAATATAAATATACTGCAAATGCTTATATTAGAAAAGAGCAAAGATCTCAACCTAACAACTTAATTTATACCTTAAGAAACTATAAAAAGAACAAACTAGGCCGGGCGCGGTGGCTCAAGCCTGTAATCCTAGCACTTTGGGAGGCCGAGACGGGCGGATCACGAGGTCAGGAGATCGAGACCATCCTGGCTAACACAGTGAAACCCCGTCTCTACTAAAAAAATACAAAAAACTAGCCGGGCGAGGTGGCAGGCGCCTGTAGTCCCAGCTACTCGGGAGGCTGAGGCAGGAGAATGGCGTAAACCCAGGAGGCGGAGCTTGCAGTGAGCTGAGATCCGGCCACTGCACTCCAGCCTGGGCGACACAGCGAGACTCCGTCTCAAAAAAAAAATAAATAAATAAAAAAAGAAAATGAACAAACTAAATACACAGCAGAAGGAAGGAAATCAATATTAGAGATAAACAAAATAGAGTACAAAAAAATACAGAAAATTAAAACAAGAATTGGTTATTTGAGATGATAAGCAAAATTTTTTAAAAGTTAACTAGATTGAAAAAGAAAAAAGAATATTCAAATGATTAAAATCAGAAATAAAAGCAAGAACACTAAAAGTAACTTCACAGAAATAGAAAGGATTATAAGAGAATACTATGAACAATTGTGTGCCAACAAATTAAATTACTAAATAAAAAGAATGAATTCCTAGAAACAAAGAATTCAAATAGCAACATGAATCATAAAGAAATAGAAAATCTGAACAGAATTATAATAAGTTGAATCAGGAATCAAAAACTTCCCACTAAAGAAAAGTCCAGGGTGAGAATGCTTCACAGTTGAATTCTGTTGTTTAAAGAATTAATATTAATCCTTCTCAAATTCCCCCAACAAATTAAAGATAAAAGAACACTTCCAAGTTTGTTCTATGAAGCCAACCTTACCCAGAAAATAAAGTCAGACAAAGACATTACAAGAAAAGAAACCTACAGGCTAATAGACCATGATGAATATCATTGCAAAAAATCTCAACAAGTACTATCAAGCAGAATTCAGCAGGATATTAAAATAAGTATACACTATGATCAAGTGGAATTTATTCTTAGAATGCAAGGATGATTCAACATACTAAAGTCAATCCACATCAACAGAATGAAGGGAAAAAGCACCTAATCACTTCAATTGATACAGAAAAAGCATTTGAAGAAATTCAACACCAATTTACGATGAAAAAAACTTAACACACTAAGAAAAAAAGAAAACAACCCCAATATAATAAAGGTCATATATGACAAACTCCCAGTCAACAACATACTCAATGGTGAAAGACTAAAATGTTTTTCTCTAAGATCAGAAAAATAAGAAGGGAACTCACCTTCACCACTTCTATTTAACAAAATTTTGGAAGCCTCAGCCACAGCAATTAGACAAGAAAAAGAAAATAAAGGCATCTAAATTAAAGTTATCACTGTTTACTGATGACATAATATTTATATAGAAAACCCTAAATATTTCACCAAAAAATTTTAGACTAAGAACAAAATTTGCATAGTCGGAAGATACAAAATCAACACAGAAATATCAAGTACGTTTTTATATACTGACAATAAACAATCTAAAAAAACCAATACCATTTACAACAGCATCATAGAAAATAACATTCTAGAAGTAATGCTATCCAAAGAGGTAAAAGAAAAAGAAAAACTGATAAATTGAACTAAATCAATATTTAAAAATTTTGGGTATCAAAAAAATGAAAGTACAACACACCAAATGAGAGAAAATATCTACAAATCATGTATCTGGGAGCCAAGATGGCTGACTAGATGCATTCAGAAAGAGA